TGGGATTATAGGCACGCACCACCATGCCCAGCTAATTTTTTGTATTTTTAGTAGAGACGGGGTTTCACCATGTTGACCAGGATGGTCTCGATCTCTTGACCTCGTGATCCACCTACCTCGGCCTCCCAAAGTGCTGGGATTACAGGCTTGAGCCACCGTGGCAGGCCTCTCCTCTTTCAATTCTTTATAATAAAAGTTCTTAACTATTTTTAGTATCACATGATTAAAAAATTAAAAAGCATAAAAAGAGATGCAGTAATTCTTTTCTCATAATCCTGTTCCCTCACCCCGTAGACAACTACCATTATCCATGCCGTGTCTACCCCTCCAGAGAACCTGAAACGCACAAATGAGCAAACGTGAATACATATTCCTCCTTGTTCACAGAGAGCAGGGTCCTATGCATGTATTTGCAGAGCTTGGAGATCTTTCCATACTAATGCCAAAGAGGCTCTCCACCTTGAAAGTAAAATCTACAAGCAAGGAAACACCAGCTCTCAGGTGGCAATAACATGCACTTTGACAGCCAGGTACACTGCGCCCCACCTGCAGCAGGACTGTCCTCTCCATGGCAGGATGCTGAGCAGCTCATCCTCGCCGCCCTCACTGGATGCCGGCCGTACCCCTGCCCGAGCTATGACAACTAAAACTATCCAGACAGGGCCAAGTGTCTGCTGGGGAGCAGAATCGCTCCAGTTGGGAAGCTCTGACCTAAAGCAGTGTCTGGCCATGCTAAGAACTCAGTATCTGGCCAGGTGCCATATCTCATGCCTATAATTAATTCCAGAATTTTGGGAAGCTAAGATGGGAGGATCACTTGAGCCCAAAAGTTCAACACAAGACTGGGCAACAGAGCGAGACCTCATCTTACCTTTAAAAAATAACTGAATAGGCCAAGTGCAGTGGTTCACGCCTGTAATCCCAGCACTTTGGGAGGCCAAGGAAGGTGGCTTATGAGGTCAAGAGATTGAGATCACCTTGGCCAACATGGTGAAACCTTGTGTCTACTAAAATACAAAAAATTAGCCAGGCATGGTGGCGCACGCCTGTAATCCCAGCAACTTGGGAGGCTGAGACAGGAGAATCGCTTGATCTTGGGAGGCGAAGGCTGTAGCGAGCTGAGATCGCACCACGGCACTCCAGCCTGGTGACAGAGCAAGACTTTGCCTCAAAAAAAAAAATAATAATAATAATAATAATAATAACAGAAAAGCGTGGAGTCAGCCAAGCTGCTGAGCTTGAGTGCTGAGTCCTTCCACCCTCCCATCACGTCTGTGCCACGGCTCCACCTCCCAGTTTTTCCTTAGGCTGTGAAGCTCAGAAATCCAGAACTGCCATCCCCAGGATCATTCCTTCTCTCAGGGTGGCTCATTTCACTTGGAAGGTGCCTCTGGTAACCTGGCAGAGCAGGGGAGTGGCATTGTGGGACTCCTGTGGTCCTGCTGACTGACGAGAGCACCTGCAGGCCGAGCAGCTGAAGCTGACCCCAGCCCTCAGTAGTGCTTGACTGGCCCGGGGCAGGAGGAACCCCAGCCACACCCTCATTCCACAAAACTGTTCCCCAGACTTGAAACTCCAGACTCTGATGCTGCCTCTCACCCTGCCTCACAGACACCCTAGACAGCACCTTAGACTTCTCACCAACCCTTGCCATCAGCTCCCTGGACATCCTCCCCTCCACTGCCAGTGGCGCCCTTGCAGGTGCTTCTCCACTCTCCCCTCCCTGACCCGCACCGGCCCTGCAGCCCCTGCACCACCTGCACTTTTTTCATTTTCACTGGGGAGGCCACCACCAAGGCCTAGCTGTCTCCCTCAAAGACACTCATGCCTGCTGGACACCTCCTCCCGCCCACACCCGCCACCCTCTAGGGCCTCCTTGCGCTCTGCAGGGCCCTGTCCCACTGCAGGTGGTGTGTGGCTGTGCAACCCTAAGGCCGGGCTCCCTGCCCTCCACCCCGACAGAGGGCAGCACCAAGGAAGCCTGGGCTCCATACACATGGCAGCCTCGCTTTCCTCACTCAACAGTTTTTCCTAAAGAAATGATTAAATCTGTAACCAGAAAGCATCAGCAAACCCAAGAAGCTTAGAATGTAACACTAACGTGACATGTGTGTACACCAGGGAAAATGCACTTTAAAAAGCAAAATGCTAATTTCTTTCAAAGTATGCTTAGCTACTTGAAGGCCACCAAATTAACTCTCTCAAATATTGGTTTGTAAGTTAAAGAAAAGGAAGTATGACTTGGATGAAAGTGTTTACCTCTTACAGGCAGACTTCTCCGTGAGCAGCTCTGGAGAAACGTACTGCGCTGTTCCCACGAACGAGTTGGCCCTGGCTGCAGAGGAGAGAGAAGGTCACATTCGGACTCACAATCTGTGACAATCAAGAGCGGTGCGGTGGGTGTCGCACACGGTGGGCCAGGCACCCCCAGGAGCCAGGCTTGTCCAGGGCACACCAGCGCTGGCTCAGGACTCACCTGCTCAAAGACACCTGCCTGACACCTGCACACTGGCGCCCTCCACCCTGGCACTCCTGCCTGACACACGCCTGGAGAGTGAGCTGCACACAAATGTCCAGCATTCTGCAGGTGGCAACCACTCAATGGAGGCCATGAGGACACGGTCCTGGCTGGCTCACTGCAGGACCTGGGATATCTAAACGTGCCCAGGGACACAACAGACAGGCCAGAAACAACCTCCTTTCCATCACAAACGGCTTGGGAGCTGAGGCACTACAAAGGGAGTAAGACTCAGGCCTCCAGCCCAAAGGCCTTCCTCCACAGAGGAGCTGTGACAGAGCAGAGCCACAGTATAGCCCGGGACCACCAAGCAGCTACTGTGAGTTGTGCCTTCCACCTGCTCTCCTCTGGCCAGCCTGAGAGAACCTCACAGCCTCTGCTGAGCAGACTCCTTCCCTTCAGTGAACGACTTTCATGCAGACTTCATGACTGACCAGGTACGGTGCCTAATGACTGCAGTCCCACTGCTTTCGGAGGCCAAGGCAGGAAAACTGCTTGAGGCCAGGAGTTTGACACCACTTGAGCAACATAGTGAGACGCGGTCTCTACAAAGTATTTCAAAAATTAGCCAGGCATGGTGGTGCACCTCTAGTTTCAGCTACTTGGGAGGCTGAGAAAGGAGGATCACTTGAGCCGGGGAGGCTGAGGGTACAATCAGCCATAAATGCACCACTGTACTCTAGTCTAGGCAACAGAGCCAGAACCTGTCTCAAAAAATAAACAAACAGGCTTCATGGCTGCATTTGCATCCTGCCAGGACCCTGCATTAATGATCCTGCCAAGAACACCAAGGAAATCCGCAAACACGCCCCCCCGCCCCCGCCACCCTAGAGGAAAGAAAACCAAACCAAGAGCCAAAAACAAACGAAATCATTCAACCCTGCAACGAATCAAAGGAATGCAAATTAAAACACGACAGCCTATCTAACTGGCAAAGGGAAAAAAGAATAAAAATACATTGTGTTGGCAAGGATCTGAGGGGACAGACACAGCACTACTGGTGGGGCTGTAAAATGGCATCGCTTCTGGGGGCAATTTTCCAATGAGTATCAAAAGTCATGAAGACGTTTGCCTCCCTGACCCTGCAGCTCTTTCTCCACACTCTGTCCTTCAGAGTCAGGCGTGGCACAGGGACGATGAGGGTCCAGTCTGTTGGCAGGGCAGGATGTGTTTCCATTCTCTACTGTAATTAATGTTGCTTTTGTGACTTGCAGTTTTTAAAATACATTAAAAAGTCTAAAAATATGTTTTCCTATGAAAAGATGTATCTAATGCATAATTAAACGATTCTGGTTGTTGTGAGGCACACAGAGCCATATGTGTTGTTTTTTTTTCTTCTTTTTTTGAGACAGAGTTTCGCGCTTGTTGCCCAGGCTGGAGAGCAATGGTGCGATCTCAGCTCACCGCAACCTCCACCTCCTGGATTCACGTGATTCTCCTGCCTCAGACTCCCAAGTAGCTGGGATTACAGATATGCACCACCAAGCCCAGCCAATTTTGTATTTTTAGTAGAGACAGTGTTTCTCCATGTTGGTCAGGCTGGTCTCAAACTCCCAACCTCAGGTGATCCGCCTGCCTCGGCCTCCCAAAGTGTTGAGATTACAGGCATGAGGCACTGTGCTGGGCCCAGTATGTGTTTTTAAACAGCTACACCGTGCACAGAGCAAGTCAGTGAGGACAACCTAGCCTGCCACGCTGTTAGTACCCTCACTGCCACTACTGCTGCTGCGCTTCTAAGCTTTCTGCAAGCAGGTCTCTGGGCTCAGATCTCCTGGAGCCCCTCCCCACCCTCTCCAACCTCCTGGCTCTCCCAGGGTCTTCCCACCTCCCTTCTTTTCTCAGGGCTTGCCCACCCTCACCCTCGTTTCCTCTGCCCCACTTTCCTAAAGGTGGAACTCCGAGCCTCTGGGGATATACAAAGTCACCCTCTTGGAAAAGGACCTCTGTCCTTAGTTAATCTAGACACAAACAGTGCCACTACAGTGTGGAGAAGATGACTGCCCTCAGAACAACATTTCTAATGCATAAAATACACAGGACTATAGGAGAAAGCAATTAGAACCCATACACCTATCAAAATATTGAAGTAATGGATCTGTGATGTAGTAATACGTGACTTGCATCATACAGCAGCAGGTCACGCCGCAGTAACCCTGCAGCAGTGCTTGGCACGACTGGCGTGGCATCACTACCGTGATGTGACCACTGCAGCAGGACATGAGAACACGTGTGACTTCTGATGACACAGACATTTGTTGCTGATGTTCATAATCGAAGGAAATGTTACACTTTGCTGAAAGGTCACAAAAAATAAGTAATTTCCTTCTATCCAGCCTCACAGATCCCCTGACCTCTATCTGTGACATCCGAAGTGACAGCCATAGACAGAGTGTTAGGAAACCTCAGAGATCGCCCAGTTACTTCCCCCCAGAAGCTCAGAGACTGGCCAAAGCTCATGCCTCTCCAGCTGCTGGAAACTCAGGGGCCCAGAGCTGGCCACTACTGTCCCCCGCATGCCATGGGCCCACCAACAGTGGGAAAAGAGACAGTGGGGTCTTGACTGGGTTGTTGTCTCCACCCTCAAGGTGGCTCAAAGAAACTCCCTGGACCACCCATGTTCCCCCAGATCTGCCAGTTATGCTTGGAGGGCCCAGTGGGCAGGGAAGACCTGAAGAAGTGATCCTGAGCTCAGGGGACACTCACACTCTCTTCAAAGCCAAGGGTGCCGGTGGCCATCTTATCCATAAACCCACAAAGCACAGAAAAATTCTACACAAAATGTGACTACCCCTTGGACAAAACACCAGCAAACCAATGCAGTGACATCTAAAAAGAACTAGCACCATGACCAAGAGGATATATGCCACAGTGCAAGGCTGGTTCAAAATTCGAAAATGCATTGCGTCTCATTAGAATAAAGCCTTAAGAAAAACACCTGATCATCTTGATAGATGCAGAAAATGCATTTAACAAAAATTCCCCACCTCTGCAAGACAAAAATATGGAATAGCCAAGGCACAGAAGAGAGGGCCGAGTCTGACAAAGGACACACATAGCCCGTGGCCAACAAATACATGCTCTCCCTAAGAACAGGAGGCCCCACTCACCAGACCCAGCCAACAATGTACCAGAGGTCTCAGCCAGGGCAATTAGGGAAGAAAATAAAGACAGCCAGGTTGAAAGGGAAGAAGTAAAACTAGCTCAAATCACAGATGACAGGTTCCTGTGTGCGGAGTCCTGGGGACTCCACTAAGAAGCTATTACAACTAAGGAGAGCTCAGCAGGGTACAGGGCAAGAAAACCAACTGCATTTCCACGTTTTCCAGGAGCAATCCAAAAATAAAACTCACAACTCTAGTTTTTTTTTAATTTTTTTTTTCCCTGAGACAGAGTCTTGCTCTGATGCCCAGGCTGGAGTACAGTGCTGTGACATCAGCTCACTGCAATCTCCCCGTCCTGGGTTCAAGCGATCCTCCTGCCTCAGTCTCTGGGATTACAAGCACGTGCCACCATGCCTGGCTAATTCTTTTATTTTTTAGTAGAGACGGAGTTACACCATGTTATCAGACTGGTCTTGAACTACTGACCTCAAGTGATCCACCCACCCTGGCCTCCCGAAGTGCTGGGATGACAGGTATGAGCCACCGTGCTCCACCAATAACTCTATTTAGAATAACATAAAAAATAAAAATAAATGTAACAAAAGCAGAATAAAGCTTATACTCCGAAAACTATAAAGCGTTTTTGAAATAAAGATCTAAATAAAGAGAAAAATATCCCACGTTGATGGGTCAGAACACTTAACACAGGTTAATATGGAAGCGCCTAGAAAGCTCATCTCCAGGCTCAACGCGATCCCGGCAGGCTTTCACTGAGGGCAATGTTTTCAAAGCCCATGTGCCTGGTAGCATGCATCGGTACCTCACGCCTCCTTACAGCTGGATAGCATTCCCTCACTGTACGGATGCACCACCTGCTTACCTACTCATCTGATGACACGTGGGCTGTTTCTACCTTTTAGCTTTGTGAATAATGCTATGGGTATTCTAGCACCTGGTTTTGTCTGAAAGTGTGTTTTCCTTTCTTTTGGGTACATACCTAGGAGTGGAATTGCAGGGCCATATGGTAATTATACTTCCCTTTGAGGAGCTGCCAGCCTGTTTTCCAAAGTAGCTGTACTATCTGACATTCCCACCCACAGCATATGTGGGTTCCAATCCCCCCTACATCCTGGCTGACATTTGTTGTCATCTGTCTTCTCACCTCAGTCATCCTAGTAGGTGTGAAGTAGTATCACCCTGTGGTTTTGATTTGTACCTTCCTAATGACTAATAACACTGAGCAACTTTTCATGCACTTATGGGCCATTTGTGTATCTCATCTTTGGAGAAACGTCCAGTCCTTCTAACATTTTTTACATTCTGGATGCAAGTTGCTTATCAGATAGATGATTAGCAGATGTTGTCTCCTGTTCTGTGGGTCTTTTCACTTTCATGACATCACTTGCAGTACAAAAGTGCTTGATACACACTTGATACACATCTAACTTACCTTGTTCTTTGGTTGCTTATGCTTTTGGCAGTGCATCTAAGAAACCACTGCCTAACTCAACGGTCATTTAATCCTATACTTTCTCCTAAAAGTGTCATAGCTTTTGCTCTTACATTCGCAGTGAACTTTTTTTTTTTTAAAAAAAAAGACGAAGTCTCAGCCAGGTGCAGTGGCTCACGCCTGCAATCCCAGCACTTTAGGAGGCTGAGGTGGGCGGATCACAAGGTCAGGAGATGGAGACCAGCCTGACCAACATGGTGAAACCT